AATAACTACACTGCAAAAATTGACCGTGTAATAAACTTTGCACTCCTTCAGTTTATTTTGCGTATCCGAATACAAAGTCAGTGCTACACTCGGTTAGTGTAACACTCATCAAACATGATATAAGGTTTGTACTGTAATAGTGCAATATAACCGAATACGACGAGTGCAATGCACTGAAACAGAAGGCATCGATCGAATACGTTGCACTGGGAAAGTTTGCACTCAGTGTACACTAGTGTACATTAGTGCAAGCGACCGAATTCGCTATTAAACATTTAACACAAAAATTTTAACCGGCATTTTTTAAACAAGAAAACACAAATTTTCCAACTGTGTACATTTTTACCATACATTTTACTAGTAAAATCTATACTGAGTATATTTACTAGTGAAATGTGTGGTAAAATTAAAAAAGAACTCATAAAATTCTTCGAGATGCCGTGTTGTCCCACGATTACATAATTTCCAGGATAAATTTTAAAAGAAAATTCTCTCCGTGTATAAGCTACGTAGCACAGCGGAGTAAGAGAAAGAGCAATGAGCAAAAAGAAGGAACAGTTAAATAACCAGGTAACTACATACAAAGCTTACAAGAGTTTACAGAGCGAAAATCTTACAGAATACAGAGCATAGAGTTATAGAGCTCGTTGAGCAAAAATCCCCTCGCAGAATACAAGATCTCTCGGTACGTTATTTTCTGCTCCGACTAATCGCACGCTCAGATCGGCGATCCTTTTCAACCGGCGTTCTGGTTTGACCCAGACCGCTTTCCGGCGAGCGTGCATTACATTTTTCGACCTTGCGCGCGTGTTACAAGAACGTGCACGGCGACGAGCACGTTAATTTACGTTTACTGGTCTCCGTCACGTCGCAGATTTTTCGATCGCTGCGATCGGCCGACAATGCGTACGACTCGCGTGAGCCGTTCAATTGACGCGTTCGTTAAGGCAAATTAAGCGGCGTGTCGCCTTTCGTGATACCGCACCGTCAACAAATCTCCGCTGCATTCTTCTCCGAGAGACGTGTCTCGCAGTAATTTAAGCCGTGATTAAAGTTAATCTGCATGGGTAGAAACGGGTATTAAGGCCTGTGTCCCCGATGCTAAAACTTGGTCCATGTTCTAGTTCTGAGAAATCTGTAGCCAATGAACTTGCAGCTATTCCATAAAAGCTGCCAGTTGATTGGCTACACATTTCTCCGAACTAGCACTTGGACCAAGTTTTAACATCGTAGACACAGACCTTTACTCCGGTTTTCACCAACATTGTTTAACTTTGATCTTACAATTAGTTAAATTCATCGTTTGTTTCTTTCTGAGGCAACAGTTGGAAAGAGACAAAGGATGACAATTAAACTAGTAAGATAAAAGTTAAACGACCTGGGTGAAAGCCAGGGTAAAAAACGTAAAGGATCGGCTAAGCTTCAGTGCCGAACTCGAGACCCGACGTAGCGGACGAAATTAACGATCGCAAACTGGCGAGTGAATCAAGGACGTGTATCCATATATCTGGTTCTAATTGCATTCCTTGGCGCGCTGTAAGATGTAAGATACTTTGGCGTCTTGCGCGCATTTCAATTTTACCGCGCGTTATCTCGTATCAAATTAATGTTCTGTGAAAATGGGGAGTCGCATCTGCATCGAAAAAGCCAATTTTTATTGAAGTATCTACAATACAATGCTGAGTCAAGAATAAAAAACGCCGTATATTTATCTAGTATACTGCATCTAATTTTTATTATACGCAAAATAGTGAAAAACACTATGTAATCGATATCGAAACGTCAGTTGAGGCGAATCAATAAAATGTTTATTATTAAAGTATTTGAGACAAGTCGATATTTTATTGATTCCCCTCAAATACTTTTATTTCTCTAGTACCAAATAGCCACAGTATTAGTTTTAATGTGAGAAAGATTTTCAATTTTGCGTTCTTAAGACACAAGAAAAAAACTTATAAAAATTATTTAGACACTAACGTCCTGCCACGGCTCTTTAGTCTTTAGTTCCTTCACAGTTGCGTTTATCACACGAGAGCCTTGTGAATTTTATTAATTTAAAAAACTTATATTAATTATTAAACATAATTTTTCCTCCTTGCTTATTTCCATTAAGTATAGGTTCAATTTTTGCGGATATTAGCACTACAGTAGCAAAATACACTGCGTCCTTTCTTTTGTGATTCAACATTGTAGATATTTCAACCAAAAATGATGTGCGGGTGTTTTTGTCGCGGGGGATATATGCCATCCAGTTTTATATTTCACTTCCTTCAGCGCGCGTTCACTGTCGTACGTCGTTAAGAATTACCATGCGATTTAGAGAAGTGAAGATGAGCATAATCGAGATTAATGCGATCTAAAATAGAGAGGAATTCTCGAGTTCCTCTACGAGGGAGCGTTACTTCTGCCATCGGTCTAAAATCGAGATGATGAAATAAGGCAAGCACATAAAGTCGAAATGTATAGAAATTTATCCATATTATAATAGAGGCAAGTCCTCTATTATGAGATAGGATTCTAATACGAGACAGTAGGTTTTTAACGTCCAAATTCAATCGTAAATCTTTTTTCGCAACGATTACACGATCTGATAATCAATTTTCCATTAAACAGAGATTTCACTCCAGGGGCAATAAATTCATGGTGGAACCAACAGGTGATGCCTATTAATTTAGCAGAAACTCCGCCACCTCATATTAGGACTTCCCTCTATACATAAAATACACAAGAGGGTATATTAAATGGAAAATACAAAAGGTGCGGCGTAATTTCCAAGCGCTTAAGGTCTAATAAAATTTATAGACTCTTTTTATTAGCCACTCGAGGAACGAAACAATCGCATCACTGCCCGCCGGGAAGAAAATTATTAAAGTGAAATGACCCCTTAAGACGATCCTGAATATATGATCTGACAATGGCTACCGCTCAGAGACTTCTTTTTTCCTTCTTAATTCCTATACTCTCCTTTTTATTCATCCTCGACGCGCCGCTTCTTCGAACGGCGTCGCGCCATTTCGCGCGAGCGCGTGTTCGCGAGGCCGATTCATTCTTCCCATTCATTCCGGTTTCGTTTGCAGCTCCGGACAGAGCAGCGCAAGGATCGAGCCTGATGTCCGTATGGTCGACCAGCACCGGGCGCAATTCAGTGTTTGGCGCGGAGAGCGGCGGAGCGGTGCTCCCCACTTCGCATTTGCCGACCCACGTACACGTGGCGCACGAACACCTGCGCAACGCTGACGGCCACTGCTTTCACAAGCCGTTCCACGATCACTGTCAGGTCGGTAGACTTGCCCCAGCTGATCCTCCTCCGCGGCAGCAGAGCTCCTCTCCTCCTCGCCCGGCACCTGCATGTCGCGCGCGTTCTTTTCTCCTCCATCGCTTTGCGCTCTGTGCTGCTGCCGCTGCGACCGCGTCTCGCATTTCATCGTGTCATTATTATTCTCGCTCCCACTACTCGTCGTTGATTTGAATTAATGTTTTGTTTTTATCGTACCTATTGCCAGGAAGACCGCAGAAACGCTCAAGATTACGTAGCTCTCCCGTGGTTCGCTGAGAAACGATGTGTCAGGAGATTGAAATTTTAGGTCTTAAATGTAATGACACGCATGATATACGAGATGTAAACATTTTTAGAAATCGCGCTACGTTTGCAACACTCGGATAAAGAATGTTCTACTTTTGCACAGCGATTATGTGAAAGATGTATTTTACTTTTTTATAAAATTATTAATATTGTTTTTTATATTAAGAAGTTGTTATTCTGTTATCGAAGTATTCCGATGCGCTACGGGGAAACTGCGAGTGCTCAGCAGTAAGATCGTGGCAGAACCAGAAAAATATACATTGGATTTCTCATGATTCTAGCTTACGCGGAACTATTTTTATTGCGCCTGTAATAATATATCTATTTTCTTCGTATTTATACTGCCTTTAAACGCCCTTTAAAACAGGAAGTGAGAACGATGTAAGCAATATCGGTTTTATAACTGAAATAGAAATCCATCGATATAAATACAATTGATGTGAATCAATTAATATGCGGAGAAAATGTTTTTCTTAAAGTATAGCCTGAAAATTACGTAATCGTGGGACAACATGACCTTTTAAAGAATTTTATGAGTTTTTTTGAAATTTTACCATACATATTATTAGTAATCATACTTAGCATACATTTTACTAGTAAAATTTCAAAAGACTCGCATAAAATTCTTCAAAATGCCACGTTGTTCCACGATCACGTGATTTTCAAGGTAAATTGTAAAAGAAAATTCTCTCCGTAGGAATTTATATACGTAATTTTCTCTTGTGCAATGTACGTCAAGTACACTGCAGGCTGACTTGATTGATCAAGACTAGTGCAAATGTCGATATCCCGAGTCGAAACTTTGGTACCATTTTGATATTTTTAAGGATAAATTGCACCTACTTAGCTGATCTATACACCTACATAGACCAGCAAGAACCTACTTTGATGACATATTTTTTTACTCCTCCCTTGAATCTTTAATTCTAAAAATTTACTTTAGCTCCTACTTAAAAGGGCCTACTTTAATTGGCAAAAGTAGAAATTTTCGACACTATCAGTTTTAAAGTATAGGAGTAAATTTTGTACTTGCAGTTCGACCTCTTTTACTGTCTTAGGTCCTACTATACAACATAGGACCAAAACTTCGAATCGGGATATTATCGAGGATTTAAACATATTTCAGTACTACAAATAATTTTGTCAGTATCCGACACCCAATCCCGACTTCTGCCGTTATGATTTTGTAACTGAGCTACTGCCGACCCGGTATACAATTGCCAGCGAAATTATTACGGTATCCAGAGCCTGCTTTAAAATAATGTCTCGTATTACATCGAATTCGAATTTCCATGCGACTGATCGATGCGTCGATGCGATACCGTGATTATCTCTGTCGTTTAATCTTGTCCGACGAGGGGACAAGTGCGTGCCTTTCTAAAATCCTCTCCACTTATCGAACATCGAACACGTTATACGCGAACAGATATATGCTGTTATATATCTGACTTAGAACGCGCAATTAGTCGCAATTCTTCAATGCTTCACTCAGCATGTGCGTTACGTACTGATAATTATCCGGATGTCGTTCGTAACGATAACGTCGTAATACTTCCCCTCTTTTTTTTTCTTATTTGCATGCTGCAAAGACCGAGTCGTCTTTATACTCGCGATTCGCTCGCAAAGTGGTTTTATCGAGTGAAATATTTTCAATATTACTGACACGTCTGTATGTACATACGTTCGACTGTACAATGTAGACTTGAGATTACGTCGACTAATCTTTGTTACGACAAGGAAAATTTATGTGCATTTATTTCTTTGAGCGCGCCGCGGGTTTGATTGCTGTGAGCTTATTGTGATTAACGGCTTAAAATTAGATAAACATACGTATCTACAGATATGACGTAAGGCACGCAACATTTTCATCATGTGTGCAGCTTCTTTTTTTTTATTTATTAGTATTCAACGTATGCTCGCTGTGTACACCGATTATGCGTTTATAATCACTTGTTCTTGTTTACGAAAAAACTTGATAACAGAAACGTGAATAATCCGTGCGATGCAACTCGCGAGTAATCTTGAAAGTGCCTGTGCAGTTGAAATACACAGATTGACATTGTCAACAGTATCGTTTACTTACACGGAGTATCAGGGACTCGATTCTTGAATTTATTCGAAGGAGAAACGTGTGCGAAAATTCTGCTCTTACAGAAAAGTTGCAAGTTAATTGGCTATTCGTATGGTTTTCAGCCAATCGACTTTCAACTTTTCTGTGAGAACAGAATTTTCGCATACGTTTCTCTCTTGAATGAATTCAAGAATCGAGCCCCTGGTCCACGTGACTTTTTCTATGCGGTTGAGAAGCGCGTAAATGCAGTCTCCGGTACGAAAGAAAAATACGTAAGTCCGCGTATGTCGTAAAAATATTTCACGTATTTGCATAAAAATACTAATAATAATAAAAGTAGAGAAAGACAAATTAAAATTTTATTCGTTGTTGCTGCCAGTATTGTCACTCCAAGGTAGTCAACCATTTCTTTTTAATTTATTCGAAGTTACTATCCTCATCACTATAACTTTGGTATTTTGGTTTCATTATTCAGCGTGTCCGTTTTAAAGACATATTTCCCGATCTCTTTCTTAGCTCTAAACAAACAAAAGACCGGTATCGTGTGACAAACGCGCCAGTCACCATTTTTAACACGTGTCAAGACGCAAACCGACTCGACGTTACACCTTGACATGGACAGTAAAAGATAACGTCATTTAATTATACGTACGTAATTATTGTCTTCCTCACATTTCTATTTGTCGACACACCGCGTTGACATTTATTTATTTATTATTAATGTTTAAACCATCGAAGAATACGGGACCGCCAAGAATCGAGAGCAAACATTTCACACATCTTGGGTGCGTTCGGGAGCTCACTATCAGCGCTACACTGAGAGAATTTTCTCTTAAAATGTACCCTGAAAATAGGGCAATCGTGGGACCACATGGTATTTTGAAGAACTTGATGAGTTTTCTGCAATTTTACTAGTAAAATGTATGGCAAAATTGCAAAAAAACTCGCATCAAATTTTTTGAAATGCCGTGTTGTCCCACGATTACATAATTTTCAGAACACATTTTAAGAGAAAATTCTCTCCGTGTACTTAGCGCTAAAAGTGTCGCTCTTTCTTCGACGCATTGAGCAACAAAGATAGAATGACGCTTTCAGCGCTGATAGTGAGCTCCCGAACGCACTTCTTGTAAGAAAATTACTTTCTACCTCGCGTTACGCTTTTTTCACGCATTTTGCACCTGGATCGCGAATTTTGCACATCATCTTCCATTTAACGTGCTTGCGATCTCGCTAACGCCCAACCGGAAACCTCAAACCACGGATCGGCGATCACGAATCGAAGTTGGGCAACGTCTTCCCGGCGAATACACGACTTGTAGACGCCACATAAAGTCCATCGTGCGTGCATCATCGGCGCAAGTATCCCCCCGAAGCGCACGCGATATCTTCACGCGCGTGATGTTTTCGTGCACGTGCATGTGTGTGCACGGCGTATGGGTATGTTTTCTTCCTCGTGCTCGCCAGACCTCCCGCAAGACGCGCGCGGCAGTCGATCTCTCGCCGTAACGTATCAGCCGCCGCACACGCACCTCTACGTTCTCATTAATTTTCCTTATTATCTGTTTCGTTCAGCACCCATTGGTTTTTTGTCCTACCGCTGCGGAACTTTTGGCAAGTTCTCCCGTTGGCACCGACGTTGCCATCGATCTCCGGTACGTGTCTCTCTTTCTTAACTCACGCTCAAGCTTCCACGGGGAGTTTACCCTCCCCTCTCCTCCCCCTCCCCCGGGTGAGATCGCAAGATATCGAGTTATCGCAGGCACTTGATATCCCTCCCTCCCTCCCTGCCTCTCCCGTCCCTCGGTGAGATAGCGAGAACGCGAGATCGCCTGCCCTTCCCATAGACTTAAGCCTAATCAGCAATGTGCTTTCTGCATCTAGAAATATTCTATTTTATATAAGCAAATCAAAACGCTTAACAAAATTTGTCCACTATGGTTGCGTTCGGTATTACCCATCTGAGGCGTCGGAGTGCATTTCCTCTCGCTCTATCTCATTCACCTCTCTCGCTCGCACGAACGCAAGGGAGCACTCCGACGCCTCAGATTTGCACTGCCGAACGCAGCTAAGGGCCTGAGCAGAATGGCTGTCTTATACTCTTAAGACAGTCTCAAGGCAATGTTTTATGTTTTAAGCCTTTGTCTTGAGGCAATGCACAATAACTGTCTTATGTCTTAATAGTACAAGACAACCATTCTGCTCAGGCCCTTACATAATGTATAATATACAATTTATTAACTTGCACAAATTTTTCAAATGTATTTATTCTATTTAATTAAACATTCTATTTATTGTCAACAAAATAGAATGTTTCTAGACGCAGAGAGCACATTGTAGATTAGGCCTCGTGCAGATCGACTGCGTCTTCGTACGGGCAAGCTGAAGACAAGATCTGAAGGGCAGAGATAGTCCGTCCGTAATGCTGTCTCTCTCTCTCTCTCTTACGTAAAAAGAGCGAGAGAAACCAATTCGCGCATTAGACAGACATTATTACAGACATTAGTCCCTATTTTTGACTCTCTCTTTCTCTCTCTCTCTTTTTATATGCGATCTTCAAAACCTCTCATGCACTGAAAAAAGTTTGCTACCGTAGCTAATGGTTTGCTGCCATAACTATAAATTTCTACACCACAGCAAACGGTTTGCTATCGCACCTAATACAGTTGGCACAGTAACATAATATTTAACTATCACAAGTGAATATTAGCTGTTCAAATTTTACAACTGAAATTTAGTTGTCACGTGGAGTTTTTAGCTACGGCAGCTACACTTATCTTCCCGCGCGAGGTGCGCGGTCTATCCGTAAAAGTCTACGGCCCTTCCGTCCGAATCGAGATTAATTTGTCATCTCCGCTTTTTGTTCGCCACAGTCGACGATGTCGCAGGCAGGAGATGGCCTTCACACACCGGGCTACTTGTCCTGGCGGAAGCTGCAGCTGAGCCGCGCGAAGCTCAAGGCGTCCAGTAAAACGTCAGCCCTGCTCTCCGGTTTCGCTATGGTAAGGATAACGTCGCTCGCAGAAGCGAATCGGTCCTTCATTTAGTGTCTAAATAAGGCCTAAGTGAGTCTAATTTTAGACCGTCCAACGACAATAAGTTTTATCGCAATCCCTCACAGATTGATTGTTGCGTCCGCATCCTCCGCGATTAATTGCCCGAGATATGCGTAATAGAGTCTATCGCTTAGTTTTGTAATCATTACACGGAAATGAAAAAAACTCCCCCGCGAACTGCAGAGCATAATTCCGAAAGCGATTTGTATTGTTTTCGAGCTCACACGAATATTTATCACAATTGAATATCCGCGCGAATAATGAAGAGTTAAAAAATTGTGATATTTATTTAAATGTTTAGTATTATCCAAGTGTAATAGGTTTATTAAATAATCATTGAAATACTTTTGGAAAGCAATCGCAGTTTTGTGTCGTACTTTTTCAATAAACAACTTTCATTTCTTCCTCTCTCATCGAGTACGCGGCGAGTTTGCAGAATCTAAATGGGTCTTTAGCAACGGAATCTTTAGCGTTTGTTAACGAGTTTGCGTTGCTCGGTATTGCGCGGATGATAATTGCGCCGAGGTAATATCCAAGGCTGAACCTATCACTGTCCGCAGGTCGCCATGGTGGAGGTACAGCTGAATCCCGACACGCACGTTCCGCCGGAGATGCTGATCGCCTTCGCCGTGTGCACGACCTTGCTCGTAGCCGTGCACATGCTGGCCCTGATGATATCCACGTGTATTCTGCCGAACATCGAGGCCGTCTGCAATCTGCACAGCATCAGCCTCGTGCACGAATCGCCACACGAGCGTCTACACTGGTACATCGAGGTCGCGTGGGCCTTTTCGACGCTGCTGGGCCTCCTACTGTTCCTGCTAGAGATCGCGATACTCTGCTGGGTGAAGTTCTACGACTTTTCGGAGGTCGCCGCCTGGTCGGCCTGCATAGTGCTGATACCGGTGCTGATAATCTTCCTCGCGTTCGCGATACATTTCTATCGGAGCCTGGTCGCGCACAAGTACGAGGTCACAGTGTCCGGCATACGGGAACTCGAGTTACTCAAGGAACAGATCGAATCCACGGACGTGGAGGGCAGGAACGGCGTGAATCTCTTGCAGACCGGGGTAACGCATATCGTTTGAATCGGTCTTCGCAGTTTTTCCTACCGCCGAGATTCGACTCGCGATTTGAGCGCGAAAAGAAGAGTTTTCGCCCCGCGGAACGCGGCAAGAGAGAAAGGGGGCAGACAGAGAGGCAGAGATCTTTTTCACGGCGATGTGCTGCGACGAGTGTTGGCGACGTTTCTCGGAGGATTCTGCCAGAAAAGAGGGTCTCTTTCGCGCGCGAGCCATTCGAGGAACATGACAGAGGGTCGTTTTCTTCGCACACATCGACGCATACGCGCTACAGATGTTACGAAGATTCGGTCAACAGATGAGATCTTCCTCTCCGTTTTTTTTTATACGCGTGTTCTCTGTGATGTAAATTAGTATAAGCGCGATGAAACTCCGCTCGCTTGCACGATGCGCGCGTTACGAAAGCATCGTGTCGATTTTAGGAAAGGAGATGAAGTTCGATAACGCCGTTGTATATGTAGGCACGAAACACATTCCTTCATTTGCGTTGCGACTTAAAACGTAGGAAGAATAGTATGTTTTAAGGATATTACGAGACTCTCGCGCGTCGCCGCCATGTGCAGCTCGCAAGGCGATAGTACAATAGCCTGAATTATTGAGAGCTGATGCGACTATTTATGTACTCGAATGTACTTATCTTTTGAAAAACGTGCTTATCCAAGAAACGCGATCGACTCTTACATCTCTCGAGTGTTTTGACGTTGTGACGTCAGACACATACGTGCAATATGCACGGTCTGCCGCGTAAACTCGCCTTCGCTGACACACGAAAGCCGATATCTTTCTTAAATAGAATTCTAACTCGCGGAGTGATAGCAATTCCCCTTATCATTTTTCAGCGCGCAAGTACATTACTTTCAAGTACACGTATTATGACTGCCGTAAAGAATGAGGAACGATATGTCAGGAAGCGGCGAGACTTGGATGCGACATCCGAGACATTACATCTCAATGATCGTGGATGAACGTCGTGTACGTGTATGCTCGATTATTACTTGTATACACCGTTGGACGTTTTTGCGAAACGCGCTGACTGGAGCGATTGTCAGAATAAAAAGTCGTACGTACGAAGTCACATGCACGCATTATATTTTTCGTTCGTCGCGAACGCGGCAAAGACTAAGCGAAACGTGAAACATTTATGTCCAAATCGATCTCGGAGAAGACGTGAACAAGACGTGACGCAACGTGCTTATAAGTGTATCGCTGCCTGGCTGGATATCCTTGCAAATTGTAATGTCGGATGTAAAGCTGACTGGCGGCAGTCGACGTCCTGTATCGTGCTGTTCACGCAGACGTCATTCTCCCAACGGCCCTCCTGCACTTGACGTCTGTCCAAGTGGTAGAAGACACCCCGACCTTCCTTCTTGCCATTCGCAAACTGACCCTCATAAAGATTACCGTTTTCTATGAGGATTTAAGATAAATATTTATGGCGATTTCTAAGTACAGAGCGTTTCGAACGAGGGATTCCGGCGTGATTCCGAGTTCACAATTTTCGCGAGCGCCACACGAGAATAAGATCAAACACAAACAAGCGCTAAGAAAGATGTATCACCTGTTCTATGTAATACGTAATTAAAAAGAAATTGATAAACATTTTTGGGCGGACTTATTTTGTAAAGCCGTTAATTCCAGATTCCACACGTATACGTCTACTCTCGTTTTCTTTTTCTTTTTTTTTTTTTTAAATAACGGCAACCTTGAACAAGCGTCCCTTTTCCGTGGTAACGATCGTTCAGCCAAGCGCCCTGGTAATATCCGCTGCAGCATCTGTGCCAGAGCCGGCCGTAACCGTCCCGTTTGTTCTCCCGAAACGTGCCTTCGTAATAGCTGCCGCCCTTGTACCAATTGCTTCCGAATCCGTGCTTTCTTCCCTTCACCCAGTCGCCGGCGTACACCTTGCGCACCTCGCCGTCTTTCGTAATTTTACTGAGGACACCGTAGCCGTGTCTCAGATCGTTACACCAATCGCCTTCGTACATCCAGCCGTGGCTGCGAAGGAACAATTCCTAACGAAATAGCGGATGAAATATCGCCAGCTTAGATGTACATGATTTCGCGGATAACAAGAAATTATATGTATAATGATACATATTTGATTATGATGTCAATACGCAAAGTGCAGACGTTCCGTTCTCTTGTAAAATTGCTTTTACACATTTATAAAGGACATAAAATAATGGCGAAGTTACGAATAGTTTCTTTGACGCTCAGAGCGTGTATCGCAGAATGTATAATTTCAATTAATGTCCTTTTGTATTTCCATATATTGTCATAATTAAGACGTAAATATGCATTGTTCAGTATTTATCTAAGAAAGGAGTGTAATTTATGTTCTATAAAGATGATAATACTTTTTGTGAAAAAAATCTCACGGCAATTGTATTAAAGATAATTTTACGTGTTTTGCTGCATAGAAATGTTGGATAAGGCGAAATTGAGATTATTGTCTCGGGTTGAATGAGCGAGGAACTTTTAGGGAAGATAATTTTCACAACACCTGTTGACTCCTATGCCTTTCCCTTCTCTCTTATCGTTTCTCCATTCACCCTTGTAATGCGCTTTGGCGATACGTTTCGCCTCGGGCGAATATATAGCGTTGCGCCAGCCATTTCGCTCGCAAGCCTTTGTTCGCTGTTCGCACCACGTAGCTCGCTGCGGCTTCAAGAACGGCATCGCGCCGAATGTCTACGAAGGAGACCTCTCAATGTGTCATTACGCGAGCGATCGATCATCCTCAAGGATCGAGGTAGAAACTGCGTGATTCACGCAACGTGTTACATTGTGGCGAAAACAAAAACGATCGCGTTTGTATCGTGCATTTTTTCTTTAAAATATATTTGATCCGAAAATCTTGAATTTTCCACCGTGCTTCTTATCCGTATGTGGTTTGTTGTATTTTTAAATTTTATTTTGTAGAGGCCCTCCACCACCCCCGCCGCGTTTAATCGACGGTCCTCTTTTCTTTACAATTTGATTCCTTACATTTTTATTATTTATTTCATTTTTCTTATAACTTACTTTACAATACACTTAAAATATTATAAAAGAAATAATGACATAAATTTAAAAATAAAATATCTGTACAATACCTACAATATTTCTCTCGACATTATATACATATGAAATATTCGGTATATGTATACAGTAACACGAAATTCTTTTTACGTACTTATATTAAAGTTATTGTTATCTTCGTTAATTTATGTTACCTAATTTTTTTAACTATCGAATTATGTCCACCTATCCCTGACTATCCGAATCCCTACCTACCCGTATTCCGATTTATAGACCTACCCACCCGTGTTTCAACATAAGGAACCTACAAATTTTTAATTAACCGCGACGCGATTTTCTAGGGGTTTGACTTGAGATTTAACGCGCTCGCGGGATTTAATAGAGGTTTCATTCTTGCATATATGCGAGAATGTATGTACATAGAAGCATAACCCACCCGAATTGTGACAAATCAAAAGAAATCAAAGTATTATACTTCGTACAGCACCTTACTTAGGTGCTCCATCAGAGTGGCCAATATTGACCACTTACCTCGTCGTATTTAGTCCATCGTTGGGCCAGATTGGACCTACCTTTCGTTGCTCCCGGCCATTCAATCTGGTCATTTTGACCAGAGATCAGGAAGGAAGAAAACTCCTTCCATAGTCGGTTATCGTCACCGACAAATATTTCATACGGTTCGAATATACGAGTGTCGATCGTATCGCAAAATGCACGACCACGAGAGGTTAATTAAAGAAGAATATTAATTCAAAAAACTTTACTGTATATACAAATCAAATTTATTTTTACTTCCGTTATTTGTTCAAAAATATTGACCATCTCTTCGTAACTTGATCTTTGAATTCGAAATTCAAGTAGATATAGAATAAAATTTACTTCGCGTTAGAGAGTGATTTTAATCTTATTCCTCGATAAATTAAAATTTATAATATGGATAAAATTAAATAATTAATTGAAAATTTTTCCTGAAAAACCGATCGCGAAAACCGACCGCGAAAAATACAAAGATGCGTGTGACTATACATGTATTCATGCAAGACGCATCTCGAAAGTACGTATATCACGTACATATACATACACACATACAAATAATAAATAATGTGAGATCCAGAAAAACGAAACTTTTTCACGATTTCAACCGATATTATAATTGCATATTATAATTAATTAATAACCGCAAATAATATATAAAAATAAGTTAAAATTTCAGTGCTCTGGACAAAACATATTAGAATCTCACATCATATTATTTTACTTTATACAATACATCAATTCGTTAATGAAAATGGATAGGCTACAAAAGATTAGCCCGGCGAATACATCATTAATATTCGCCATATTTCGTTTAAGTTCTGTGATATAATTCATCGATTTTCAACATGGAAAAGTGAGCTCGACATACCCTGATTTATAGAGCTCTATCAAATTAAATGAATGTGAAAGAAACTTTATGAACTCATTGAACTTCAGAGGCCCCGCTGTAGGAAAGAATGAATCCCAGATCTTCCGGATTGCCTCCGATAGCGGTCATTTCAGCAGGGTGTTAACGACGATCGTTTCAGATATCATTGTATCTCGTATATTTACATTTTTATTGAAATAAAAATTATTCTTCCATTATTAGTGTTAATGGGAGAATATTTATGGAGAAAGATATATATATAAAATCTTCTCTTCTTTTTTTTATTAATTTCGCGAATCGACGTCGCGCCCTCGTGCCGAAATCGTTGCTTTCGGGGATCCGTGACAAAGAAAACCAGGGATTAACTCTGGTTCTGCAACGGCGCAGCTAACTTTCCACATTGAAAATTGCTTATACTCCTCTCCGGAGTTTCAATATGTTAAATAAAAAATTTACTTGCCATTATCATTTGAAACCTATCCATTAAAAATTTTAAGGCAACGAATATACAAGATAATCTACGATCTACAATCTATGAACTACAAAATGCACTGTAAAAAAGTATGTAAAATTACATACATAATAAGTATAGCGATTACACTATTAATAACGAAAATATATGAATGTATATATAATACTTTTGCAAAAAAAATTTTTACACTTTGTTGTGTAAATATACATGATGAAAAATTACAAAAAAATGTAAAATTTACGCAATCAAAAGCAAGCAGTTTACTTATTATGTAAGGTAATAATTTTACTTACAAGGAGTAAATTTACTGACGTTTGTAAATATACATCTTTACTAGGTGGTCCGAACATTACTCACTATAATACTTGTAATTTTACATGTAATTTTTTTGCAGTGTGTATATTCGTTGCCGTAATAAAAAAAGTTTCAAACTCACCGACCCGATGCTGCGCAGCAGCGGAGTTTAACTTCGTTGATTCTGTAACATAGAATTATAAAATTCACATTAGAACAGAGTATTCAAGGAAATCAATATTAAAGAAAATAATTTTTAAATTATTAAAAATAAACAAGAGGAAGATTAATTTTATACGAAATAAAAAATATTTACCCTAAAGTTGCTCCGCCGGTGCCTGATGCCTTTCCTCGGCCTCCTCCTCCACTCAGGTTGTCTTCTGGCACACTCGCGGAAACCCAAAGATCGTTCGCGCGATTTTACACTTTGAATGTCCACTTTAGTCCAATTACACAAACGGCACTCCCGAACGCGACGCGACACGACGAATCGCCGCGCGCGGTTGCGATTCGTTTAAAGTGGCGAAAATGTGCTCTCTAAAAGTCAATCGGTGGATTATCACTGAAAACAGTGAATCGATTCGTTATTTTCAGTAATAATCCACCGATTAACTTTCAGAGTGTGTTAGGCCTGGTTTATCATTTTCTGGTTAACAACAGTTTATTAAAAAATGAAAAATCGGGCCTAAATAGTGCAATGGGTACCTTTGGTTGTCCCGTCTTTAGAGTATGTACTCTCTAAAATCAATCAATGGATTATCACTGAAAATAGTGAATATTCACCGATTCAGTGATAACGCACTGATTGATTTTTAGAGAGTAACTCTTCGGGGTACTCAAGCCCCTCCACCACGACAAGGTAGTACCCGAGGAGGGGATTATCGACAAAAAACCGTGCAATTACATGTGTATATTTAGAAAAATGAATATTAAGTGAACATAAATTAGGTTTGGCTATTCAATGCACGACGTGAGAGAGATTCATCCGAGTTCGATCGTTAAAGAGGTATTAGCGCTCGTGGATATATCGAACCTAACTAATAATATATTATGTAATTCCCTTATTCACCGCAGAAATGAGCGATAAGATTACGGATTGCGACAATTAATTCAACGCGATTGATAAATGTTAATAACTCTCGAACGAGACGATCGCGTTACAAGGAGCGACGCGAAGACACGCGGAACATCCGTTTCGCTCGTCTCGTTTGTAAAGTCACTTGTCTCTCTCACTGTATCCAAATGTCACTTCACTCGCGAATTTACACTTCCGTTTGTAAAGTCACTTGTCACTGTATCAATAATAATGACATAATACGATATGCGAAGCGGCGCGGGCATAACCGATCAATTCGACTGTCGCCGCGTGAATGATCCTGCGTACGGCGCCGTTTACTTAACTTAAACACTTCTGCCGAGAACCGAGCACGGATTCCAAGAAATGACGTAGCGCCGTGAACACCTCGGTCGAAAACAACCTGTTATTAATATTTATCAATCGCGTTTAAGTAATTGTCGCGATCCGTAATCATATCGTTAATTTCTACGGTGATTTGTCGCGACGAATAATTTGAAGTAGAAGTCGCGATTGATAAATGTTAATAACTTTCGAACGAGATGATCGCGTGCGTAGGAGATGATTGAGATTCCCGTAGGAAATGATCGCGTTACAAGGAGCGACGCGAAGACACGCGGAACATCCGTTTCGCTCGACTGATCCGCGCCGAATGATACGACACAATAGATTGTTTACGACCGAGGTGTTCACGGCGCTACGTCATTTCTTGGAATCCGCGCTCGGTCTTCGACCGAGGTGTTTACGGCGCCGTACGCAGGATCATTCACGCGGCGACAGACGCGTTTTTACATTTTTATTATTTATTTCATTTTTCTTATAATTTACTTTACAATACATACAATATTATAAAAGAAATAATGACATTATAAAATTAAAAATATAATATCTGTACAATACCTACAATATTTCTCTCGACGTTATATGTATATGAAATATTCGGTATACGTACAATAACACGAAATTCTTTTTACGTACTTATTATATTAAAGTTATTGTTACTTTAAACTCTGGAATTATGTCTATCCTGACTATCCGAATCCCTAACTACCCGTACTCCGATCTATAAACCTGCTTATCCTGTACGCTTGCCCAAACGTGGACATTGGCCACGTAGTTCAACATTTTAATGTCCACAGTGGACGTATCGCATTCGCCAATCACGAAAAACGAGGCCGTAGCAGCTCTCAGATTTCTCTCTGATATTTTTATATTTTGGGGAAATTTTTTCAAAATATTATGATCAGAGAGAAACTTGAGAGCGGCCACGCCGGCGTTTTACTCGATACCGTTTCGGGAGACTGTTTTGCGCGCCCTTACGCCCATATTTTCTGACTCTGCCGATAAAATTTCCACTTGGTGCATGTCTGTGCTATGCATTCTGACATCTAATTTATAAAATTTACATTGTCTACGTGAGAAAAGTTGATGTAGATATCGTGCAGATAATTTATGTTAATGTAATTTTAAATTCCACAGCGCAATTCGGAAAAATGGGCGTAAAGGCGCGCAAAACAGTCTCTTGAAACGGTCGGGGTATCAAGTAAAACGCCGGCGTGGCCGCTCTCAGGTTTCTCTCTACCAATACTTGGATTAACTTTAATCTCGGGTTAACTCACTTTTCATCTGTTTCTAACTCTGAGAAATAGAAAAAGATAAAAGTGATTTGCGAACCGAGATTAAAATTAATCTGCACTGCTGGTAATATACAAAGTAACATCCGCGCGCACTTGTTGCAACGCGCACGCGCGGGACTTGGTGCTCCGCTGCTCTCCACGACTGGGGTCAGACTGGGTCAGACGAGCGATGCAGATTGCAGGGGTGACGCTCCGTCAACGCACAGATACCCGTGCACAGCACCGCGCGACGTAAGTTCGTTTTGTATACGTCTAGCGCCGATGGTCCGCGTCTACGTCTATTAGGGACGGAGAATCGAGTGCGAAAATCTCGGAGCATCGCCGCGCCGCGTCTACGATGGACAGCGATGTCTGCGTGATTAACGTGAGTACGGGCTCTGTGAGCGAGGAGCCGCCGCCGCCGCCGGAGGTGATCGAGCTGGATACCAGCCCCGACGATGAGAATTCGACCTGCGGTACGAAGAGCGCCAGTCGCGTCTCGTCCCCGGACGACGAGGCGATCGAGATGATCCCCTCGGAGCAGGAAGCCTCGCGGCCTCGTAGCCCGTCGAAGAACGTCGCTCCGCAGCCCGTCTTTAAGGTTATGTTTCGCGACGAGAATGTCTCGAGGTACGTCCCGCGCGTCTCGACGCTTTGGTAATATCTCACGCTCGGTTTTACGAGGTGGATGGGTCGCGGTGTGACGAGAGCGACGTATGAAAACGGTCTCACTCCAAATAAGCATCTTCCTGCACTCCGAAGAAAACCACGCGAATTACATCACGCGCGAGGATATACGAGTGTTAGCGCGAATTAAATGTTTATTTAATTCGTACATTAAACGCGCGCGAAGTAAATGTTTTTTACGTGCAGGAATGTATTAAAAATAGGCATTTTTTTGTATCTCGAGGTAAAACACCAGATTAAATCACGCACAGCGTAATTTATTTAATTTACACATTAAATATTAGATATGTACGAATTAGGTACAATAAATATGATGTAATTCGCACATTGATACGAGAACTATCAAAGCAATCAAAATGATTAGTTTAGAATTCTTTATCAAATTTATAACGCTGCGTTTTTTTTTCGGATTTCCTAACATTTGTTGTATACAAAAAGGATTAAAATCAATAATTTAATCAAATTTTATCAGCTTATGTATATATTTTATATTTAAATTGTACAAATCGATATTGTACAACAATTGAATCGGCAGTTTTATAATTAAATATCAAACGTGTGCGGATTATTATATTTGTTAAACTAAATTCTTCATGGATTATAAATTTATGTGTATTTGCAGGCAATATCGGGCTCAAGTAAAAGATTTCTTGCAATCTTTACTGCGAGCGAGACCGCTTTGTAAGAAAAACGCGAATGAATCGGATCTGACTTTAGAGATTTGGGAGAATGAAATCGACTCCGAAGAAATGTTCATTAATTTGGAAGATGAAAATACTGGGCATGACAGCGTAGAGTGCATCGACAATTTCACAATTGATAAACGACCGAACATAAATGATTTGGCTGTTCCGACTTATGAACAGGTAACACTGTCGTTTCTTTATATATTTGTCTCTTAGTTGCCTTTTTATTATTGCGTGTGTTTATACGATCGTTAATATTTATTTATCTTATCTAATTCCAATTGAGGAATGTCAGTCCTCGCTGATATACCTTAGCTTAGGAGTACATGTAATCCCGTTTTATATTTGTCATTTCTATCTGCTAAACAACAATTGTGTCGCCTTAGAAATATGAGAATACATTTGAGAAACCAAACGCGACGCCAAGAGATTTCACGCCAAAATTAAATTGCTTTAATTGTAACGGAAATCATAATTTGCGAGATTGTCAGTTGCCCAAAAATCAAAGCAATATCAATAAAAATCGCAAAGAGTTTGCTATGAGAAATAATATGGGAGTCCGATACCACATGAGTGAGGATCAGAGATATAGTCACATGATTCCTGGTCAGTTGAGCCAAAAGCTACGAGATGCTCTTGGGGTAAAAGACAATCAACTACCTAGGCACATATACAGGTATTACTTAATATAATCTAAGATTTGGGACAATGCTTCCTCATGTTCTTCATTTTATTCAAGTCGGTATACTCTAATATTTATATAGTCATTAATTTCTTAAAATCTTATGTTTTTAAATCAACGTGATAATGTTTTGAGATCTCGTTTTATTGCTGCAAACGCAAGCGCGTTTGCACGAGATTAAATATTAAAGTAAAGAAAAAGGGAAGATTTATCATTATCGATTTAATGGGCCAATGAGGTTCATTCTACGTGCAAAAAAACGTGTTTTTCTTAGAATGAGATTACTTGGCTACCCTCCAGGGTGGTTGGAAGAAGCACGCTTGCAACATTCTGGTTTATCACTGTTCATTTCTGGTGGAGCAGACGAAAGTGACATAAATAAAGAAGATGGCGAGATCATTACAAGCGCAGATCGAGATCAATACGACTTAAAAAAAATATATGACTTCCCTGGTTTTAACGTGCTTCCTCCTCCTGGTACCGAAGACGTAAGTAACGTAGCGGAACAGCCGATATTAACACATAAAAATGATCTTATCTTGCTCGCTTATCTCGCAGCTTAGTTTTGTTTTTACTGGAGATTGTACACATTAAAGTCTGTCGATTGCAGGACAGCCGCAAGTATTGGGTACCACAGATGCAATTCATGCACAGTAAACAAATGATGTTATCGCATTTGCAAGGTAAAGAAGCAGATGATGGTTACAAGCGAAAAAAACTGAAATTACCTGCTCCAGTTATGAATAATACAGAAATGATCAGTGATATGGAAGTAGAGGATACAGAAGGTATAATTATTCTTTCTAATGTAATTTTATTTTCTTAAAAAATAATTACCATGAAGCAAATAAGTTTTATCTTAACATTAAGTTCATATTATTAACATATTTCTATTTGCTTTTCTAACTTTTGTATGAAAGTGGCACATAATCTCTCTCTTTTTTTTTAATAGAAAATGTTGGGGCAAATATATCTGTTAACGGACATTTTGTACCACCGTTACCAAAAGAATCAACGCAACTGCAACCACCTGCTCCGTTAGATTTATGTGAAACAATAACAAGCAATTCAGATTTGCATGAATTGTTTTCCTTCAAAAGTGCAGTATGTTTTCAAAAGATTGTTATATTCTTAAGCATGTCAAAAGTTAAATGTTCAAAAATTGGTTTTTTTTTTTCAGGACGACACCCCTTCGTCCACATATTTATCCTTATTTGAATTAGAGAGAAGAAAAAAGATGTTACTTATGGAAATCGAAGAGACCAATTCGCAATCTAATTCTGATTCCATATCAATTAAAACCGAACCGGAAACGTCGCTTTCCTTTGGAACGACTACACCTTCTACTTTGAGAAGATCTCCAAATCGAGATTCGGTCAAGTCAGATTTAACCGACGTATTACTTACAAATGATTGTAATACTACGTTGGACATGTCAGTTTCCGATAAAATGCTTCAATCCACTCCAATTCGTTCTACTTCGCAAAAATCTTCAGAAGCAAATCATGCTTCTGTCAAATCGGTACATTTAGGTACACCGATATTGTCAAGTACCTCTCCGTATAGTAAATTACCATCATCTGAAAAGTTTTCCAAGGACATTTGCGATGTTATCAACTTTGAAAATTTACCTGATTCAACGGGTAAATATGAACAAATGTCGGGAGTATTGCGAAAAGTTAGAAGCACTATGACAAGATTGCACCAACAAGAATAGACCGACTATTTGAGGACTAATACAGCATTCAGTAAGTACAGAAATATTTAGATGTACAAAAATCAATGAAATTAATAGTTAAGATAGTTAAGTAGTTATCTCAACTAAGAAAAGTAATGACGATTTAAAAGTTATTCGTTCTTCTTTCCAAAGAGGATATTTTCAAAGACATTCTATTGTAAATAGATATTTTTGGGTATGTCTATAAATATAAGATTAATGTGTTCACGAACATTACCTAAAGATCTCAAACGTGCTCTTTGCAGACTAAACGATTCATTGCTAGTTGCTAGATTACAAACTAGAATTCACTGGTTGACACAATGATATTCTCTATCCTATATTCTATTATATCTTTCTTTGAGCTTCTCTAAAATCCTTTTTCTTCATAGTAGTTACAAGATAATAGACTTTCTTACTGTCAGATATTTTTTTGAAACTACTATTCAGACAAGCTACTATTCAAATGTACTCAGATTCATCATATTTAAAATATTGTTTTTTTTTGTCATTTTTACAAATTGTAACACAAAATTTTAGAATCACATTTTTGAAATATAAACTATCGAGAAATGTTTTAAAATAATTTTCCTCTAGACGTATATGTGTCCTTAGATATATTTCTTGAAACTGTATTTTTCTTGTCATTCCTTGATATTTTTCCTTTTTTTAATTACTTCTCTAAATTCTCCAAATTTAATTAGATTTAATGTGAACTCTTATAATGGGAAGAGAGATACGCTCGATGTCAACTTTTTAATAAAGTAAAATTACATTAGAAAGAATAATACTATTTATTCAGTTTTAATGCTTGTGTTGATTAATAATTATATCTTCTATTTCCCCTCTATATCACTGATCATTTCTGTGTTACTTACAACTGGCGCAGGTAATTTATTCCGCTTGTGACCAGGGATAGGCATGTGAAATAAAACTCTAAAAAAGTTTCGATCTAGGAAGGAAACTAAAAACAAATGCTATCAATTTAGTTGCACGCACGGTGCACATCAGAGTTAGTATGCGAAACAAAACTCGCGATTCAAAAGTTTTGAATCATGTTTTTTTTATCAAAGTTTTGTTTCACATAACTTGGATATAGTTCCGCTCCTGAATCTTGTTTCCTATAGCGAAATTAATTCTTTTTACACTTTTCACGCGATGCCCTGAATTTATCACCATCGTTTGCTTCTCCACCTTGCAAATGCAATACTATCTTTTTACTGGGTTACTGTTTCACTATTAGGATAGCCGTTTCTGATTAGGATCAGAAATGCCCACAAGGAAGGGCAAGAAAGAACACTTGTCCTCCCTCCCTGAAATCAGTAAAAAATTAAACATTGCTGTTCTTTCGGAAAAGAGATACACCAAAAGGTGTATAAATTTGAATTTATAAGTATTTTAGTTTTGAAACTTTGAATCGCGCCTCCTTTCGGACATCTTGAATCGTACTCTTCCTTGGAAAAAATACTGCGGACACCGTTGCCTACAATCGACAAACTTTATCTTATTCTTTCCTGATTGCGTGGCCTGCAAGATGCTCAAGTCTGAGATCTTTATTACAGTTAATAAAGTAATGTAAAAAGAATTAGCGTTTTTATAACTTCAATTTCATTCATTCTCTTTTATTTTCACATACATTCTAGTCTGCTTTATTTTCAACGTTAAAATGCCACTTATTTTTGGAAATATAGTGATATATCTCATTTTTAGAGTAAAGATTGAAATTTATCGTATGCAAACTCACATTAAACCCAGAATATCTGTTGATAGAATTTTTATCGGTTTTAAAAACGCTTTCATAATTTGTTATGCATTCATACATTAATGGATTGGGTCACAAGATTATATAGTATGTATATATCTTAAACATAATTCTTAGATGTATGGTTTACATTTAAGCATTCATCTAATATCTATGTATATACAAGTGTGTAATTATATAATATTAATTAATATAAAACATTTTATGTTTGTAAATATACATATATAATACTGAGCAAATCATATAAATCATCAGGTCATCTTCCAAAAGTACAAAAACATAGAAACAAAGTTTTTATCACGCAGTTATTATTACATATAACTGTTGCGTTAATTTTACTCTTATGATATTGTCTCATGTTCAAATCTATTTTCCGTACATTAATCCTAGTTGGATATAAGAGAAGCTCTACCCGTGCAATATTTTGTACATGTTGAGGTGATATGAAATATTCAACTGTGATTAATAAAATTAATCTTTATGTGTATACATATGTAAAGATTAATTTTTATAAATATATATACATATATATATATTTGTATAAGGGAAGAGAAAATAGTTTTGAAGAATTAAAGGCAATAAAGATGGTAAATATACAAAATGCAAAATATTCAGCATTTTTCACGTGATATGTAGTATGCAAAAATAATGGAATTTAAAATCTAATTGTGACATCCAAACTTCAAACTAATGTTTAAAATTAAATGTTATTCGTGTCAATTCTTTCAAATATATCAATTGCTCTTTATAGAATGTTAATTTGAAAAAGTTGCTAATATATCTAATTTTAATTTTCTCTATTAATACAAAATATAATAGCTATCTACAATTATTTCAATAAATTATTTACTATTTTTTTTTAAAAAGGCAAGTACGTGTTTTCATTTTGTTCAGAAATGTGCATGGATTTTCCGAAATATGACAAGTAAGATGCGTCAAGATAAATATCGAATATACAAACATTGTACAAAAATAAATATATATAAGTGTATAGCATTTTTATCTAAAATAAAATTATTTTGTAATGAAAATAAAAAACTATATCATTATCAATTGTACGAATCGAATGATATAACGCGAATACCTTTATAATATTCCTTACACGATGTTCCTTAGAAACACATTGTATGTTATTTTGTTACACACTCCTGTGTGTATTGACACTATTTATTATATACTAACATAATAAGCATAGAGTCATTTTATGCAATGCGGAGAATCAGTTTTATTATCGAAAATATGGGGAATGTACAGTGTTAAACAACATCAGTATAAAACATTTCACCATATCTATTACGGGAGAAAATCGTGTTATATACTACTAATAATCGTTATTTATACTTATATATCTTTAAATCTGTAATTTTTTACTTGTGTAAAACGTCGGATGTAACAAAATATCTCCACTTTGAATGATATAATATGCGTATCGAAATATATTATAAAACTATAAATATTCTTTCTTTTTTATCATGGGTAACAAAGTATAATTTTTAAATATCGATTTTATATTGCACCAAAAAAGATAGAGGGTCTCTTCCATCTTTTTTATATAATCGCGTTACGAAAAAATACAAATACTGTTTCTTGATAAACCACCTAAGATTCCGAAATTCTCAATTATCATACATTACTATCGTTGTATTATTTACAGCAGATAATTGTACATTCGGTGATCATATGTAGGAGATTCTTTATACCACAAATTATCTTTTGCGACTCCGAGTAGATTCTGGATATACTCATAATTTCTTGAATATAAATACCAAGTAAATAATTTCATTGGATGACTATCCGTTCGCAGGTACTTCATATTTTTATTGTTTTTATATTAAGATTTTAAATTATATACGCGTAGAATACGTTCTTGTTATCGCGCACGAGCGGGTCCTATTATTTTATTAATTGCAATTCGCCATTACCCGCGTATTAAAAGACGAACGGCAGAACGCTAGAGATCTCATGTTAGTGATGTAATTGTTGAACTTCAATAATATCTTTCAGAAAGTCCGGATAAAAGTACTTTGTGTGATGCTATATAATCCAGGCGCGTAATTACAAAGGAAAGTTGAAAGAGAAAGGAGATGCACACGCGCCTTATATTGTGTAAAATTGCAATTATCAATGTGTAAGGAAGTTGCGCTTCCAAAAACCAAAGTGACAGATCCCGCCAACGTGTATATTATATTTATTAATATCTATATACCATAATTCTTCCTATCTCTGTTATAAGTTTACCACAAATCCAGGTGTATAAAACCTCGAATGACAAGAGTCCCGGCGTCATTTAATTCATCGTCGACGGCGGAGGCGGACCATCCCCGTGTGAACCCTGCGAATAAAGTATGTCTTCGAAATGTGCCATCGACTTTCCATCGGTAACACATAATCACACTTACGGGCTCGTTGCTGTTCTTGACAACGTTCCTGATCGAGTGTCGCAAAGTTCTCGGTCTAAATGCGTACAGAAGAACGATAAAGCCAATGATTAAGCAAGTGAAGAGGAAATCGGAAGGTTCCCGAACATTTGTCTGCGGTCCTGGAACTAGATAAACAAATTTTGAACTAGTTCTAGTTTTTCTTCAACTAGTTAACTTACATATGTTCGTTTTCAGTTTTGGAAAGAAATCATGGACTAGTTAAAAATTAAACTTAATTATCTACGATGGGTGAAACCGACCGATCGATAGGAACATATCTATTCCAAGTAAATAGTGCGTTCATGAAAGTGTTCAATACAGTTTACTTTCTCGCAACTAGTTTCGATAAGCGAATACGCGACGAGACGGGATGGACAGGGAGTCTCAACTACACGAAGATCCGTGATAGATAGACCGGATCGAGTGACGATCGTACGGCATCTGACATAAAGATTCTTACGTTCTTATACGACGATGTGCGAATATGAGATAAACTTGAACGCACAAAGGCGAAGAAAGACGAAATAACGAGAGAGATGCCTTAAATTAAACATTAGCTTCCTTGCATTATTTTCACAAGCATAATTAAGCGCTCGCGACGTAAGATTTAAGAAAGTCACCTATACCACAATCGAATGTGAGCAGAATAATCAACTACGATTAGTCGTTTTCTTAAATCTTACGTCTCAAACATCTTGTAAACACCGCATAACACGTGAAACGCCATAGAGTTCGTTATCAGAAAGCAGTTCGAAGAAATTTCGACTTTGCGGCGCGACTAATAATCACCGTGTAAAATATCAACAATTCGGCTAACTGATACTGAACATAGCGAATACGTACTTCTTGACACGCTGAAGCATTCGGTGTCCGAACAATAATCCTGCGATTGTCGTAGCTGAAACAGTAATACAATTATAGGTGGAAAAATGTACTTTGCATTTGCGAAATAAATATTTTTGTACGCATAATACGGCGTGACAAGTAACTGTAATACTATTTGCTGCAGATGCCCGTCTCGATGTATGCAAGTGCGATAAATGTGTGAAGAAGATACGTAATAATTTTGCATATTGTTATCAAGATTGAATCTGATTTTTGTGTGGACGTGTGTACGCGTTTGCATATCTACACAATATATACGTACACATTATTTACATTTATGCGTCTCGCAAAAGCCACGTACTTTATATATTTTTCCCACGTTTTACAACAAAAATTATCCGCTGCGGAATGCACATTCAACAAACTTATCCGCAAGCGTGCAGGTTCTTCCTCTTTTTGCACTCAAATCTCTACAATTCGAAGTCCTCGCATTCGTGTAATGTTATCATGCATCGTCGATCGACTTACGTAATTGAAACATTTTTACGTAACCGCGTGGCGCAACAAATTTCTGCCAAGCTAAACAGAAGAGGTCATTGCGTTACACAGGTCGTCCACGACGGGAAAACGCCTCGTTCATTGTTCGGCCTAGAGAAGACTCATGCCCGTTTACACCAACGTCGTTTGACTTCGATCTTACTTTAATGCCCGTTTCTACCAATGCAGATTGATTTTAATCTCGGATTAACTTATTTTAGATCTCTTTTAAAAATCCGACAAAGATAAGAAGTAATTTAAACCGAGATTGAAGTTAATCTACATTGGTAGAAAGATGGTTTAGACGCAGTTTCACCAAACGTCGCTTAACTTTAATCATAGAGCGGTATTCATAATCCGATCTTGTTTTTAAAATCGTCTTAAGATCATCTTTAGATACTCCGTAGCCGATGAAATGCTCCGTACAGCTTCTTTAGATAAATTCAAGACGATCTTGAATATAAGATCCGACTATGAATACCGATCTTACAATTAGTTTAATTCATGTCTGTCTCTTTCTAAAGTAACAGTTGGAAAGAAACGAAGAACGAATTAAGCTGAGCTCAAAGTTAAGCGACGTCGGTGAAACCGGGTCTTAAATTAAAATCAACGTTAAACGACGTTGATAAAACTCGGGATTAAACGCTCGCGAGGAAACTAAAAGAAGGGGCACCGTCCTTCGTCGCTGCCCATCATCCGATCGCGGTCCTATCGCGACATCGATCTGACGCACTCGCGTCTCATTTTCTCCCGCGTTACTCACGATGGAAAGTAGATGCTGCACGGACATGTAATTCCACATGCACTCGCACGGATCGTATCCCTCGTCGCTCATCGTGGCGGGTGGGTGACCTTTCGCAGAATCTTGCCGCTGTACAGAACAATTAAAGCTGGTAATTACATTGGTCGTACGACACATTTAAAAAAAAACGTTGGTCGGCTGCAGGATAGAAAATTTCTAGATACTCGAGAACTTTACCATCCTGGAACCAATCAACCGGTTTGAAAAATTTGTCGTACGACAAATGTAATACCAGCCTAAGACGTCGTCTTGATTATCGCGATTGTCGGACGCGTCGAACGCTCTCCTTCTCGCACTACGAGCGCGAGGAACCGTTTCTGTCGCCGATATTTCGCGCGATACGTTTTACAGCTTGCCGGCCGAATTCTACTTTTATAAACAATACAGCGCAACATACTGACATTGCGAAAAAAGAAAGAAGACGCGAGAGACTCGTTAATAAACATGTATACTTCAGCAGTTCTTTGCAAATTCGATATTCCGCGAAGTAATCTAACGCGGAATTTCAGGGAATTGCGTAAGCATACGAAGTGTTAACAAAACAGAGTAACAATCTCGTCATTTGATCAACTTCTCTGGCTATTTAACAACGAATGTTGGAACATCGTGATGGGAAGCGTGTTTAAACGCGGAATAAAGGATGCATTTTTTAATACCGCCTTTGCGCACGAAAAGTGACAAAAATCTACAATAAGTCTCTGCGATTTGACACTTGATCAACGCGAAAACGTATGTACTTTCAATCATTTTATGTACAAAAATTTCCAAAAAGAGAGAGATGCAGAAATATCCATGAAGAAAACGAAAGGGATAAAAACAACTTATTGTTAGCAGACCGTGTGCTGTGATACGATCTGCAGGCACAGGTCGAAAGTTTAAAGTCGTCCCCTCGTAAAATTTCCATCTTTCATTTGCGTCGCTTTTCACGTGCAGAGAGACAAAAAGTTAAAAAAGTATGACTAGAGGAAAGTCCTCCACTATGATAAGATTCTAATATGAGACAGTAGGTTTTCAACGTCCAAATTCAATCAGAAATCTTTTTTCGCGACGATACACGATCTAACAATGAATTTTCCACTAAACGCATTTCACTTTGAGGGCAATAAATTCATGGTGGAACCAACAGACGATGCCTATTAATTTAGCAGCAACTTCGTTATCTCATATTAGGAGCCTATCTCATAATAGGGGAGCTCCCTCTAATTGTAAAACTACCGCGCTATCAGTTCTCGTTCCAAGAACATACCGTGTCGCAACGCGGACAATTAGGGTAATATTACATTTGTCGTAGGACAAATTTTTTCAAGCGCGTTTATTGGCTACAAGCTACAAAATTTCTAGATACCCGACAACTTTTCTATCCTGCAATCAATCAACGTACTGAAAAAATTTGTCGTACGACAAGTGTAAACAGACAAAAAGAATATTCTTCTTTTGAAAATATGTTTAGCCTCAACGCGACAATCTTGAAATGAGATTATATTATACGGCAAAACGAGAAAAACTTACTTGAACGACAATTACAGTATTTAAATAAGACCAATATTTTTCGAATGTAAAATTATTAAATGCTTTTACGAACATTACAGCTTGTTGCGTATATACAAAATGATAAGCACGTTGAGTATATAAGTCTATCTGACACTTATTTTTTTCCGTGCAATACCAGCCTTACCCGCATTTGCTCAAGGACGAGGAGGAGGAAGAGGGGGCGGAGGTACCTAACTTGTTATCTGGTTGCACATATGAAAATAATTTCGCAAATGCGGCATAAATATTGCATACTTGCGCTATGTATTATATATTATCGCAGCTGCCAAGGACTCGTTATAAGTACCCTTTATCGCACGCGTTATCCGTACAAAGCACGCGTGTTACACTTTATGAAAGATATTTGGCGCGACTTATCTCTTCCTAGTGGCCACGTCGCGTTGCGTTGTTTTCAGCGGAGAACGCCTTAACTTATTTATTTATAACATTTGTATGACTCAAATGTGACAAACACAAAATTTGAAGGAATAAAGAACTAAGAGCCGTGACAGGGTGTTAATGTCTAAATATTTCGTATCTTCTTTATTGCGAAAAATATTTATCTACTTATTTGACTTTGGTTATGCACTTTATTCACGTATTACTCTCCAAATTTCCCGCTTTGTATTGTTAGTGCGCTTGAAAAGGACCACAACCCATGGTCGAAACGTTGCGAGGCTTGGACATAAAAATTGCCAGATACGGTAAAACAAACTTGAAGCTGTTACTTCTTAACATGTGTGCGTTCATTTGTTTAGCGATTTGTTTAAGACAGCACCGTCACGCGAGAGGTAAAAGTGAAACGTTTCCTTCGTCCTTTGCATCAACTTATCACGGACGAATTGGACAGTTCAATGTTCCCTGAATATACCTTTGCGCGTTAGAACGAGTTTGAACACGCAACAACGAACGCTTTCGCACGTTCGTTTTTCCGCGATGTAATTTACGACTACTGTCAGCCGATTCTAATTGTTTGAAAGACGGACGTAATTTAGCTACTTTTTCGAAAATTTAGACACACTTTAATTTTCCAGTTGCCAAAGTGATTTATATTTCTTTACTATGAAAATAACATTATTGAATATATACACAGTGTCTTATTTTAAATGATCCACGCAAATATCTCCTAATTTTTGTGTATGTAAATTTCATGTGTTACAATACACAAAAATGTTTCAGACAAAAGTTGTTCATATTAATTAGTAGAATAAGACAGTATAATAAGCAATAGGGGGTTCCGTTAAAAAAATTGAAGGTGACCTTCACGTGACCTTCAAATGACTATCCAAGGTCAAGTCAATGGCAGCACCCTATGTCCCCCTTCGAACCAAACAACTTTTGTTCGAAACGTTTTTCCGTATCTTTCATATTTTTTGGAGACACTTGCGTGAATCATTAAAAATGAGACACCCTGTACAATACTTTTTAAATATGATTATTTATTAAATTATAAGTATTATAAGTTATTTTAATTTATTTTAAACTCATAATATATACAAGCTAAGCGTATCTTGCACGTTTTAGAAAATGTACGTAGGAAGAATTATAGCCATTCGAGCGGCGTAAGACTTCATTGCTTTGAAAGTTTAAAAAGTTGCGAAAGTAGAAGATCCGCGAGATTGTCCAGACGGAAGTCAAATTGCGGAAGCAGCGAGAAAACGAAGGTACTATAAGTAGCGAGAAAACCGCGGTCATATATTCATTTATACGTGAGTTACCGATAAATGTGCGTGCGGCAATTTGCGGCACGCGTCATTCGATTCCCGAGTCATTCGCACAGAAAATACAAAAGAAAACGTAAAGTACTGCGAAAATTCTGCTCTTGCAGAAAAGTCGCAGGTCGATCGGCCAAATAAAAAACCGCGCGGACGGCCAGTCGGCTTTTTCGGTAAAGCGTCGTCTACAATGCGTGGAGCAAGAGAGAACCGTTCAGCTTTTGCTGTAAGGAAGCCAAAATACAGGCGCACTTTTTAAAATATTTGCAACACTGGCCGACGGCGTTCCGATTCGCCGAGAGTGAGCGTAAGAGTTCGAGCAAGAGTAAGAAATAAAACTGATTTACTTCCTTACTCCAGGCTCACTCCGTGCATTGTAGACGACGCACAAGAGCAGGAGCGGACTTCTCGCGCACGTCTCTTACGCGGATGAATTGAATAATCGAACCCCGACGATTGTCGATACAATCGGAGCGCGTTCGCTAAAAACTCCGTTTAACCGCGACGATCGACTCCGCGTAAATCGAACGACGACGCGACGCGAAGCGCGGAGATTCGGAGATCGCGTGCGGTAACCCGAGCGTCGTCGGGAGGACGGGATTCCTCCGAGTGAAACCTCATTTACGCAACGCGATATCGTTTCCGCGGCCGAGCGATCCGCTCCGAGCTCTTCTCCCTCGTCTCCGCGCGCATCGCGCGGACCTGTCATCGCGGAGATCTGGACCGCGGCGCGCGCGCGGAAAGAGGGGCCGGGATCACGGCCGGAGCGGACCGCGCGATTTTCCGCGCGACCCGCCTCGCCCGCGGTTTTCTCCGCGCGCGCGATATCCCCGACACGGCGATTCGCGCGAGAGAAACCAAGCCCGTCGCGCTCGCGTCCGTATGGCAACGCACGACGGGGCATGACGCGCGCGCGCGCGCGCTCGCGCCGTCGGACGGGAAGTTCGACAAGACGACGAGTTCGCGACCTGTCGCGTCGACACCTGACCCCTGCGTCGCACACGAGAGGAAGAGGAGAAGAGGAAAAACAAGGGAGCCAGAAAGCCGAGACACAGACGCACGACCGACGACGACAATGACGACGACGACGACGACGACGACGACTCGACGGGTCGTACGGGGAGTACGGAAGCTTCCGTCGAGAGATGGATGTACTCACCGCGTCGGCTAGAGGAGAAACGGAACGGACGAGCGGATGACGACTGCGTGGACGCGACTCGACAGCTTCGTACGACTCGGACTGACTTTACGCTCGACCCGTCGTTCCAACCATCACGATCCGCCGTCCTCGTCCTCGTCCTCGTCGCCTTTGGTCGTGTCGTGTGTGTACGGAGCGCGTTCGCGGCCGTGCATTCGTGACCGCGCGGGATTGGCGCGCGGGCGGCCAATCGGCGGGGACGGCGCGATAATTTCAAATCCCGCGACGCACCACCCGAGGGCGGTGGATCTCGTAGGCCCGGTTTCATCAAACGTCGCTTAACTTTGATCTTACAATAGTTTAATTCACGTTTGCCTCTTTCTAAAATAGCAGTTGGAAAGACACAAAGAACGAGTTGAGATAAGCTTAAAGTTGAACGTTGGTGAAACCGGGCTTCAAGGCTAAGATAGTAAAATTCTCGAGTATCTAGAAATTTTCTATTCAGCTGTCAATCGACGCATGAAAAATTTGTCGTGCGACAAATGTAACTTTAGGCTAAGGTCTGTGTCCACGATGCTAGAACTTGGTCCAAGTTCTAGTCCCGAGAAATGTGTAGTCAATCAACTTGCATCTTTTACAGAAAAACTGCAAGTTGATTGGTTGAAAACTAGAACTTGGACCAAGTTCTAGCATCGTGGACGCAGGCCTTTAGGCCCGGTTTCACCAAACGTCGCTTAACTTTGATCTTAGTTTAATTCACGTTTGTCTCTTTCTAAAATAACAGTTGAAAAGACACAAAGAACGAGTTAAGATAAACATAAAGTTGAACGTTGGTGAAATCGGGCTTTAAAGCTATAATAGCAAAATTATCGAGTATCTAAAAATTTCCTATTCAGCAGACAATCAACACGCATGAAAATTTTGTCGTACAACAAATGTAACATTAGGCTAAGGTCTGTGTCCACGATGCTAGAATTTGGTCCAAGTTCTAGTCCCCGAGAAATGTGTAGTCAATCAACTTGCAGTTTTTCCGTAAAAGATGCAAGTTGACTGACTACACATTTCTCGAAACTAGAACTTAATTGAACCAAGTTCTAGCATCGTGGACACAGGCCTTTAGGCCCGGTTTCACCAAACGTCGCTTAATTTTAATCCTGGTTTAATTCACGTTTGTCTTTTTTGAGTAACAGTCGGAAAGAGACAATGAACGTATTAAGCTAAGCTTAGAGTTAAGCGACATTGATGAAACCAGGCCTTAGGGCCAATTTCACAAACGTCGGTTAACTGTTGACCAGGGGCTCGATCATGAATTTTGTTTTCTCTAGCGTGAACTCGTGAAAAGCGAAAAAATTTAATTAACGAATTCAATATTTGTCAATAAAAAATCTCCGAGTTCAGTCAATTACCTCATCTTTTTCTATCTTGTTATCTAAAGGCCTGTGTTCACGATGCTAGAACTTGGACCAGGTTCTAGCACCGTGGACACAGGCCTTGAGAAGAGACAGAGAATCAATCAACCTTCGGTTAGCAGTTAAACCGACGTTTGTGAAACTGGCCCTTAATTGGGGCTATTATTTGAAAAGTCTCGTTCTTCCTGTGTAAAAAACGAAACGGGATTCCTCTTTTAAATTTATTGAAACAAGAGTTTCATTACTCATTGTATGCGGAAAATAACTTGTAAGACGCCACACCTAATCGTACGCCTGATAATTCCTGACCTTCTTTGAACCGTTGTGTGAAAAATCTCGCCATTTTCACGTCGTGAAAAAATGATCTTTTTTTTTCTTTAATAAGAGTTCGACTACTCTCTGCTTGTAGCGCGGAAAATAATTCATGAGATGCACGATTATGTATACTTATAACGTACGTTCCGTAGATTAACGATGCTACCGGCATTATTTTTCTAAATAATCCCTGTATATGTGTATAATAATAAAAAATAATTTCTTGAACCCGAACAAATTAATCAATCTCGTCCTTACGAAGCATTTTATACATGTTTTAATTGTATATCGAACCGCAAAAACAATAACGGACTTCACCCAAGTCCATTAAGATTGATGATTAACATATCAATGATTTATCTCTAACGAGCCACTAAATAGAAAAGCGAGTTAATAATCGTAAAGAATGATGACAGGTAAAAATACATCTAATAGCTTAACGGCTATCTACCTCGTAAAATACGAGTTCAGTTGTGACAATTGATCATGCAATGGTAAAAAATTTATGACTGCCAGTATTATAATGCGAATTCTATTACAGCTGGCAATTGGACGTCACTCCGATGCACGTATGTACGTGTTGATCGAGAACATAGAAATTTCCCACTTCAAGGAAAAAAACTTTCAAATTTTTCCAACATTTCTGCTCTTCAATATCTTAATCGTTGAACTCTCACATCAGGGAACCCCGTTGTTGTTTGTTTTCTCGTACGAGGATAAAGACCACATTTCAAAATTCGCTAATAGGAAATACCAATCGGATTCCCCGCCTAGACCACGTGTGTATGTGTTACCGAAAAAATAAGCACATGACTTTATAGTAAAGCGTTGAATATATAGTATAATTTTTACCACATCTGTGTCATTAACTCTTTCATGATTACTGGTTCATACAAGCCTCAATTGCATTGTTTTGCCTCACTGGTTTCTCGGGATGTCAGCGTATCTCGATCAAAAAATTGACCAAAAAAATAATTCGGTCACGAAAGGGTTAAAGACAAGTCGGTGTGCGTGTAGAAAACTAAAATATACGATGTATTGTTCCCCACTTTTCTTTTCTCTTTTGCAAATTTTTCTATAGTTATTTATAGGACACTATCGTATTTCCTAACGTCTCGTCGGACTCACGTTAGATAACGATCCTGTTATCTAACAAATAACGTACTCGATTGAGCACTCGAGATTTCTCATTAATCGTCAAGACTCATCGTTAATCATGTAAAAGTCTTACTTAGAGTCTCGCATATACTCAACATTCAATTCCTCATTCTCGAGTGACGTAAGTTTCTCAATATCGTTACCTTTTCAGAAGTAATAATTGCAAACAAGATTACAAGTAGTACACTCCTTAATTGACGTATATACGGTAATACCTCTTGTACAAGTTTCGCATTAATGCATATTAATTAAGATAATTTTCCACCCGGCGCTGCGTATTATTGTCCATATTATTACACGGGTTTATTATAAAATGAAAGATCCGGTCAGTGATGTAATGTGTAACGTGTTTTTCTAGCTTCTATTTGGGGGAAGCAACTTCTTGTTGACGTCGCGCGTAAAATTTCCCATCGCCGCGCGCGCGCGCCGTCGCCGCGATTGGCCACGGCCGCGGCACCACGTGACCGCGGCGCGTATATACGCGCCGGCGGGCGCTTAAATTTGCCACTCGCTCTTTCGATCCTTTGCGACGAGGTTCCCCCGTTTTGTGCCGGAAGAAATACTACCGCATCCCCCGTTTCGCGCCCCCGTCTCTTCTCTCTCTCTCCCCCCCTCCCGCCCTTCTTTTTCTTTCCTCTCCACGGCTCCTACTTGTTGCCCCGCTGCGATTGATCTCGCGGGAGAACGCGACGCGAAATCCCATCCCCGAGCACCGGCACGGCGGCTCTTCCGCCGGAAGTGACTTCGCGGCCGCGTGTTTTAGGCGCGTCTCGCGCGGCCCCTTTCGCGACCTCGCCTACCCCTTTCGCCCGCCACCCTCCCGCCGATCGCTCGCGGGATGCGCGAGAGCCCTCGCGAGTAGAGCGGCGCGGGTGCGCTCCGCGCGATTCCACCGCGGGCTCGAGCGCGCGGCGTTCCTCCGCGCGGGAAATCGGCTTCGCCTCCTCCGCGTAACGTCGCGCGGGAAGAAGGAGGACCTCCTGCCCTGGGACTAGGCGGCCGCGGCGACGCGGGGGAGAGTCGGTGCGGGGCGGCGCGGGAAGAAAGGCACGGAAGGACGCGGGGCCGACGACGCCGCATTTAATCGGGCATGGGTCTGACGGATACCAGTTTCGAGCTACTTCTGACCCTGTGGCGAGTCTTCGTCGTGGGAGTCCAGCCGTGGACCGCGGAGCCGCGCGGCCAGTGTCGCGGTGTCTCGCCGAGCTGTAACGTTCACGGCGACGCGGTCGCACGTTAGTCGTCTTCGGCGCGACGCGAGGTAAGTACCGCACGCGCGCGTCTCCCGCGCCTACCTGCCGGGCGTATCCGTCGCGAAAACTGCCGCGCGCGTACGGCAGGACCCCGGCCCGTCGTCCCCGAGGCCCGTCGGTCGCGGCGGGTTCGCGTCCTTCGGCCGCAATTATTTTCGTTTATTATCGGGGATTTTTTATACACCGAGAGAACCTCATCTTCAAATTTATCCTGAAAATCGTGGGACGGCACGGTGTTTCGAAGAGTTTTATGAGTTTTTAAAATTTTACCATGCTTTTCACTGGTAAAACGTACAGTAAAATTTCAGATAGCTCTCATAAAGTTATTCGAAATGCCACGATTGCACAATTTTAAGAGAAAATTCTCTCCGCGTAGGGTGAGATGACCAAGTGCGGATCAACACTTTGATGAGTCGCTTAAGCGGCGTTTTAAAGTAATTTTTTAAAGTAATTCGCTTAAATTTCGCTCTTTTACATGTTTACAATTTTAAGCTATATTGTCGATATCATAGAAGGCATCGACGTGTTCTCGTGTCGCTGATCAGCGACTCGTCAGATTGTTGATCCGCACTTCTGGGATTCGTTCTGAATCTTTTCCTCCAGCGTAAACTCGCGACAAGTGAACATTTTCGTTGATGAATTCAATACTGGGTCGATAAAACTGTTCACTTTTCACGAGTTCACTCTAGAGAAACAGATTCATGCCGCTGGTTCGAATTTCGTCACCTTACCCTACCGTTTAGAAAGGAAATATTTTCGTCAGACCGAAAGAGAAAGAAGAGGAGGAGCCGCGGTATTGTCGCGAGTATCTCGAAGATCGTTACTTTAGATTGCCGCGCTGCCGCGGATTTTCGAATATCGATGTCTCTCCTTACGTTCTTCGTCGATACGCGTCTAGATTTCGATAGAGCAGCGAAATAACTTTAGGACTCCCCTGGGGCGAATTGTTATACAGCGTCAGATATGTCCGCGCGTTTCCAATAGATCGTAAAATCTAAACGTTGACACATCGAATACTTTACGATTGCACGTTGTTTACTGACACAGTACTGCACTTTGCCCCCGCGTAGTTTCCGATTCGTAAATCAATTATTTTACAAGATTTACAGTTTATTCATTCGCGAATCAGTGGGTCTCGCGCGTAAATAAAAATGTATGTAGCCATATTTTGTCGCGTGTAACATATTTAATTGTTTTTAATTTTTCCCTCAAGAAGTGTCAACCTCTCGATTCTTTTTATTACAAATTTGTGGTGGGTTTAGTTCTTAACTTTAGATAATTACGAGTGACCGAACGATTTGATGAAAGGTACTTTTTGTACTACAAAAAAAGGACTAAAGGCAACCCTTTTCAACGACAGTTTATCTCCAGCCCTCGAGTCGTATCTCGATAGCCGAGCAGCGGCTATTGTCTTTGCATCTTTTCGCAATGCTTCTCGCGCTCTTCCGCGAAATCCGCGTGTCCGTCATAGGAAATCAACCGCGGCGAGAACGCGTTTCCTCGAGATAAAACGATCATTCGTCATTCGCGACTTCGCGTTGACATCCAGCGCCGATCGAGTGCCGTGTCTCCGGCATCCAATTGCCGATCGAAGAAAATCTAATTAGCGTCACGTTCGGAGTTCTCAGTAAATCTCCACCGCGGGAGACTCCCCACCCGAATTTCGCCGTTAGTTTCTTCGGACCCGACGGCTCCCCATGTCTCCCACTGTATTTATGTATTTATTCGCGCCGGCCACACACTCGCGTAGCCTGTTCGTTTGAATATTCGAGACCGGTACGCGCGACGTGGTTAGTTCGCCGTCGCGAATCGCGGCCGACCGATCGACCGGCCGCGCCGATCGCGGCATTTCGGGTTTTCCCTCGAAGCGAATTCCTCCGCCGAAGAAGCGGGCGAAAGAGGCTGCCGTTGCAAACACTTCGGTGAGGTCCCCTCCGTCTCTTTCTCTCCTGCGGTAGGTTCCCTCTTCCTCTTTTCTTTCTACACCGTGACTTCAGACACGGGGAATCCTTTAGTTACCGCGCGGGCGTGTTCGTGTTTTATTTTGCCGGCACGAAGACGTCGTCGTGTCCTTCGATTCGTATACGACCCGACAGGACTCTTCCACACGGTTCGTGAGTCCTCGTGACGGAGAAAAAAAAGTGACGCGAGAAATCTTGCGGTTGGCGCGAAAAAATTTATTTTCCTCTTTCTCGTTGCGAAATTTTCTCCCGACGCGAGGAACGCGACGCAACAAACGACGTAGCTGCTGCGACGAGAGAGGGAGAGACTGTCATTTCTGTTTCGTTTTTTTCTTAAATAAAAAATTCGAAACGCCTTCTCTGAGACTTATCCCGTAAACAACGTGTGGAGAAAGAGAGAAAAACGCGATTGTAGAAATAGGAAATATCTGATAGCGAAAGGTTAACGGGAGGCCGCGTTTAACGCGTGAAGAAGTCATTTTACAATTTACTTCGACTGCGTGTATCTTCCTCCTAAATAAGTCGGCGTCAACCTAGACGTGAAAAAAGTTCATTGGCTATTTTCGTGGCTCTCTTACTCGTTTACATTAAAATATATCAGGGACCATTTATAATTATTTATGAAAATTACACAGATTCTCTCTCTCTCTCTCTCTCTCTCTCTCTCTCTCTCTCTCTCTCTCTCTCTCTCTCTCGCTCAGATTGAATAAATATCGCAGGTTCCATTCGTATTTCCATTCGTGTTTCCATCGTAAAATAGAAAAAAAAGTGGAGTTGCAATTGCCAAAATTACGGTAAGCGTTAGGCGAGAGAAAAGATCTAACATGAAATTTTTTAACTAACGTAGAAAAATTGCTACACGACTCTAACTGGCAAATTGTAATTAAAGAAATTTATTGCGAAAAATATTACCTCGGCCAACTTTCTTTAATTAGAATTTGCCAGTTAGCGTCGTTTAGCATTTTTTCTACACTGGCGTGTAGAATAATTCTTTACGTTATGTAATTTTTTATCATTATATACATTACATCTGGTAGGTGTCCCGGGTAAGAACACACGTCTGAATGGCTTAAAAAAATATTAATATTTATTTATCGCCCAAGACGCAGACGTATAAACGCTTTTCTAAAATATTCATAGAGATTATTGCGACGCAGGAATTGCTGCGCGTATTGTTTCATGCATAATAGATTTTGTGTCAACAATTGGAGCTTGGAGTTCAGCTACGTATTCACGCGCATATGCGGAGTTTTAAATCGCGAATAATTAAACATTGCATATTTTTATTCATTCATCTTGAGAGCGCATCATCTCAGAAAAATGTGAGCGTTGTCTCAAAGTCTGCGGTTATCCTTTAAAAGGCAAATTATATCAGAAGTGGATAGCATTTCTCTAATTTGGCATCTTCTTTATTAAAAGGAATCATTCACTGGCAGTTGGATTTAATACGAAACATAAGATTAACGAAACTTTCTATAGATTACCTATTTCGACAAATTCAATACATTTTAGTATGCATATAAAATATTGTATGATATGCAAAACTTTATAAAGATTTTAAATTAATTGGCAACTGATTTTTACTACATATTTTTCTATTAATTAACTTTACATTACATTAATTAACTTTCTTTGGGACACAGTAGAGCGGACATTTTTGCTTCGCGAATGATTAAAACAGCATGTTATCTCGATTTCTTTACAAGCAATTGCTTTCCTTTGGAAAATACTGACACACAACGTTTGTTTCGATTTAATTGTTATCCACAAAAATATTTAATAATTAAAAACAGCCACACTAGAAGTATAAATTTATCTTGAAATATTTATGTACCTGGTTTAACGTCTTAGCGAAACGGATATCTTTGCGTAAGAAAATAATCGACGGAACGTCTCTTTAAAATAAACGGAGTGTATTGAAGCTAAAGATTAAACTAGGAACGCGATATTTCTTTTATATTAAATTTTCCCAGACTACTCTAATCCTTTTTTGCAAGTTTAAAAAATTGTTATTGATAAAATAAAAGTCTTCTGCAAGAAGAAGTCTGTATGGTCTAAGGAAGGCCGCGCAGTATCAGTCAAAGAGGAAACAAAATGAGACGTGTTCTGCGTGGATGCAAGAATTAAGGCGTGTCTAGTTTGCACGTGCGATAGAAAAAAACATGTCAAAAAAAAAGGAGAACGTGGAGTATCGGTGGCGACCGTTTCGCGTCATTGCGGTTCTCCTATTTGTCCTCGTGTGCGTGTGCATCTGCAGGTATATAGTACCGTTTGCAGCTCGGTATCTTTGCTATTCGATCGCGGTTACGATTAATTCACAGTTCCTCAATGATTCGAGAGAAGACTGGCAAAGAGGAAAGAGTCTGGCTCCTGAATAAATATTGTGCGAGGCTCCTACTCTAGGAATATGTCAACGTAAATTCGATTTTCACAGAATATCGTTTTCGTCGCATCTTCATCCACTCCGCGTCTCTTCCTTATATTCTAGCTATTATCCTCGTTGAAACTAGTTTTGGAATTTCCATTAAGAACCGCAGCATCGATTGAAATATCGTCATTCGTATTTCCGGGAAAGGGTAAAGGAAGAACTTTTTAGTGATATATTTAACTTTTCCTCATCGCAGGAAAAGTATGCGGTGTAATTGATTATTCATTAAACTAATTAAATTTTAAAATAATTAAATTTTTTGGTTCCACCATGAATTTATTGCCCTTGGAGTGAAATCTGTTTAGTGGAAAATTCATTGTTAGATCGTGTAATCGTTGCGAAAAAAGATTTATGATTGAATTTGGACGTTGAAAACCTGCTATCTCATATTAGACTCCTATCTCGTAATAACAGAACTTTCCTCTATATATTATTTTCATCGGCGCATCAGTTTCTCGAAAGATTTCTGCCTAGATTAATCTTTGAATACGTTGTTAAACTTGACAGGAAAACCGTCGTCAGAATTTATCAATATTATCTAATCCCATTCAAGAACAAACGGGCAAAAATATCTCAAATTAAAAAACCATTTTTGAAAAAAAAACTGGAATAACAAGTCGGAGAAGCAACGTCAAACTAACGTGTGTAAAATTATCTCCTCCGGATATATTTCAATCGCTTTACGTTCACGAATGCATTTAATTTACACAAATGAATTTTATTAGCGCGGACTTTAAATTCATTATTCAGTTTATTGTTTTGATTTATGGATATTATTATGGATCCGGTCGAGTTGTACCCCGGCGAACCGGTTTCCGATGTCGCGAGCGGAAGCGGGCGCGAGCGATCTCGCGGGGGTCGGTCGGTCGGCGGCGGCGGCGGCGCGAGCGGGTGATTTTTCGTCGCCGTCCATCTTCGCGCCGTCCGTAGGTGTCTCCGCGACCGCCGAATATCAATTAACTGGGTCGGTCTGCGTGGATAAGCGTGGATCAGTGCGCGTGACAGAAAACCCCTCGTCGAGTGGCCCCTCGAGGCCGGATCGCCCGCGATCGCCTTTGAAATATACGCTGTTTGACCGGTACCCGTCACGGGGTACAATGAGGCTCGTTGGGGGCGTCGAGCGTTGTCGCCTGAAGGGCTATCGATAACTTGTCGTCGCCAAATTACACGCGCCCGCGCCGCGCCCCGTCGCGCACGCGACGCCCTCCTCCCCCCCCCCTCTCTCACTCTCTCTCTCTCCCCCCTTTCTCTTTTTTGCACCCGTATATGTATATTTCGTGTCAGTGAGCGAATAAATAATATAATAACTACATACGCGCGCGAGAGCTCGCGCGCGCATATGTCGAATCGCCGATTTCCTTTCCCTCGCGCTATCACCATGCATTCTCCTCCGTCCCTCCCCTCCGTTCGCTCTACGCCTTCCTTTCGCTCGGCTCCTTTCGCTTCCTCGCGCACTCGCGACCTTGCGCCTAATCCCGCGCGCAGCATAGGCATGCAGATTTATGCACTCGTTCATGAGCTGTGCCTTCAAGATTACATGATTATACATATTGGTCAGTTGGCACAGGAAACGCCGAGGCTCTTGCTCTTGAGAAAAGTCCGCTTCAAATCTCTCGGGGAAAATTTTATACCGTTTTAAATACCGGATTTTTATTCGTATTCTTTCTCGTTATTGTGCGCTTAAGCAAAGTAAGGGACATTTCTCTAGCGTTGGTACGATTATTTCCTCTTCATAGGCTCGCAGATGTTTTGGAGTTATTACTTTTTCATCCAATTTATCGAACAATGTTTGAAAAATTTAGCCATTTCCCGAATAAGAGAAAATCTCGATTTCTAATTTGTTACGGTTACGATTTATCTTACGCTGCAAATCCAAGTGTATAAGTTATATAAGTACGCATATATAAGTTTTACACACAGAAGTATGTAAATCGTCAAGTCCTCTTTACGCATTTATATGCGTGTTGTATTTACGATTTAAACAATTACGTGTGTAAAGATTTAACACACTTGGATTCGGCGTGTAAAAGTTAAATGGAGGCAACATAAGTTTTGACATCTTTACGAAACGTGAATTATTGATGATGTAAGATGCAGTCTATGTTGTGGAATGCAGAACACTCCTTTTTACGACGGTATTACGTTTTAACGGTTATGTCAACCGGACGATAAATTATTAATGACTTTCCACATGCTAATATACATTACGTAAATTGTTATCTAAATCAATTAACTTACACGCGTGCGAGAACTAATTCCAGATAGATCACACAGAGAATCCAAAAGAAATTCCTTTTGAATCCTCTTGAACTCTCGAATTACGAAATGAATTCTTTTTCCACTTCTATTTCAAGCATCTTTTTAAAGAATTCATGTAGAATTCGCTTTCATGCCACCAATTCCAACTTTTTTTTTAATAACAAACTTTTTACATCCTATAAGAAGATCGCGTCAGAATTTCCTTGGAGTTCGTCTAGTACAGATTACACTAACCGACAAAGAATTTAGACGAATGAATTCTGACGATTTAAGTCGGCGCGCACTTCTCGTTTCGAATACTGTCACGATATGTGGCATTCGGGAATCAACATTAAGGCCGAATCAGACTAGCAATTGTTGACGCGGATTGAATTGGGATTGGCGATTGTCCTCTAGCCAATGAGAGCAAAGCAGCCAGCGATATAATCGACTCTCATTGGCTAGAGGACAATCGTCAATCGCCAATCCCAATTCAATCCGAATCGGCAATTGCTAGTCTCATTCTGCCTATAGACTGTTTATTGCAACTAATATTTCCACATGCCTCGGTGGTCGAATTGATGAGACTCCTGGCTGGTGAGAGTGCGGTCAGGTTAAAACCCTGGCTGAGGTAATTTATTTTGCGCAATAAATTGAAAAATAAGAGATATTTAGACACTAACGTCCTGTCGCGGCTCTTTCAGCCTCTATTCCGTCGAATCGGTATTTACCACGTGAGAGCCTCATGAATTTTATTGATTTGTCAAATTCTTTTTGAGTTCACGACGAGATCACCGGCGTAACTTATTGGAATGTTATCTTCTACGAGCCAGAGGTCGCATATTAATTGCCGTTGTATTGCAGGTGCCGGAAGGATGTCGTCGACGGTGGTAAAAAATGCCGCGAAGGACGTCGACGCCGGCGACGGCAGGGAGACCTGGTCGGGAAAGCTCGATTTCTTGCTGTCGGTCATCGGGTTCGCCGTCGATCTCGCCAATGTGTGGCGATTTCCGTACCTTTGCTACAAGAACGGCGGTGGTAAGTGCGCGCGTCGGCGAGCGGCGCGGTATCCGCGCGGTTTATTTTCGATTATTTCGCGCGAGTCGAGTGCTCCTCCCTGTCATTGACGGGGGCGCAATGGCGGGAATACGATTTCAATAATTCGCCCCTTCACCCATTATACCCTCCCTCGCTCCCGGCGCTCGCGTTTGTTACGCGGTTTCGCCTAAGCAGACCTTTTTCCCTGAGCTTCGTCATTTTTCGCATCATCGATCGCGGGGTCCCTGGCATTATTTACGCCTCGTTTTTGCCCATCGTGCGAACACGCCAGGACGGAAATCACCGGTCGGCGATCACATGACCGGTTTCACCTGCGTCGATCACGTTTCATCTCGGCTCGCGGAGACGCAGTTCTCCCAACGAGAAATTACTCGTCGATTGATTTCGAAACGATGTCGGATCGACATCGAATTTGACGGTGTCGATGTCGACTCGATATCGTTTCGACGAATCATTTCTTAAGGCCTGTGTCCACGCGATGCTAGAACTTGGTCCAAGTCCTAGCTCCGAGAAATGAGTAGTCAATCAACTTGCAGCTATTCCATAAAAGCTGCAAGT